TGCCCAATGCGGAGCGCAGATCGTCACTCGCTTCCATGACCACCTGTATCTGGTGGCCAACGCCGGGTGTGCCGACAAGGACCTGGCCCATATCGCCCCGCTGATGAACAAGTTCACCGCCGCCGGTGGCGACGTGCGGCTGGTCGTGCGCGATGGCACCCACGCCCTGCTGGCTCTGCAGGGCCCGAAGGCGGCCGATGTCCTGTCGACCCTTGTGGATGACGACCTGTCCAAGCAGAACTTCATGCAGGCCAAGACCCTGACCTTGAAGCTGTCCACCGGGCCGGTGGAGTGCCTGGTCACCCGTTGCGGGTACACCGGCGAGGATGGCTTCGAGATCTCGGTCCCGGCCGGCGAGTCGGTCAACCTGGCGCGCGCCCTGCTCGAGTGCTCGCCCGAGTCCGACGTGCGCATGGCCGGTCTCGGCGCGCGCGACTCCCTCCGCCTGGAGGCCGGCCTCAACCTCTACGGCCATGAGATGAATGAGGACATCCTGCCGGCCGAGGCCGGCCTGGCCTGGACCATCAGCCCCCGTCGTCGCCGTGAGGGTGGCTTCCTCGGTGCCAGCCGCGTCCTGGCCCAGGTGGCCATCGATGGGGCCTCGCCGGTCGAGCCGCCGGCCCGCGTGCGTGTCGGCTTCTCCACCGCCGCCCCGGCCCGTGGCCCGCACGACATTGTTGACCCGGCTTCCGGCGAGGTGGTCGGTACCATCACCTCCGGCGGCCCCTGCCCCTCGCTTGGCAACCAGTTCCGCTCGCTCGGCTTCATCAAGCGCAGCCTGTCCAAGGTTGACACCGAGGTTGTGGTGCGTGTCCATGCTCTTCTTCCGGCCGGCCCATGTGGCTTGACTCCGGCCCCCCTCCCCCGGCCCCGGCGGTGGTACACTGACGTCCTTCTCCATGCCCCCCCCCCCTTCCCCCCCCCCCCCCCCCCCCCCCCCCCCCCCCCCCCCCCCCCCCCCCCCCCCCCCCCCCCCCCCCCCCCCCCCCCCCCCCCCCCCCCCCCCCCCCCCCCCCCCCCCCCCCCCCCCCCCCCCCCCCCCCCCCTGCCTGGTTTGCACCTGCACCTGCACGCGCTCACGCGCACCCAGGTCAAGGCCCGTCGCGACATCAAGGCCACCGTCGTCAAGACTCCCTTCGTCCCGCACAAGTACTACCGCGGCGCCAACTAAGCGCCCCGTCTTCCTCGGGAGACGTGTTTGGCGGCGTGCCGTCCCCCGGGGCCCGACCGCCAGATCGCTCATCAGCCCATGTCCCCTCCCCCTCCTCTCCCCCGGACCCCTGCGCCCAAAGGGGCTCCCCCTTCTTTGACATTGCGGGGGTTCCCCGGTCAAAATACCGCAGGCAGGATGCCACGAGTGCCGGCTACTCCGGCGGAGTGGAAAGAGGAAATGCATCACCAAGAATTCCACGCTCCCTTTGCGGGCTCTGCGTTTGTGTGTTTGTTTGTGTAGTTTTCCTTCTTTTTTTTTCTTCACCAGCCCCGTCTCTTCACCCATGGCGAGGATACTTACCTGGGGGTGCAACAAAGGCCCCTCCGGCCGGAGGGCGCTTTTCCGGGTGCTGCTGGTGCTGGTGCTGCTGCCACTGCAGGTGCCCATCAGAGTGGGCACTCCCACCACTGGCAGACCCTGGCCGAGTCGGCAGCGGCAACATCGAATTGGGGTAGCTGGCAGGCGGCTCTGGCCGAGCACCCGGCGCTGTTGTGGCTGCCGGGGCAGCAACAGTGGGCGCGTCTGGCGCGCCTGGCGCGGCCGAAGTTCCGCCCAGGGAAAGGGGCGACTCGGTGTCGGAATCCAGCAAGCTGAGCAAGAAGGCCAGCTCCTCCTGATCGGGCTCCGTGGCGGCCGGGGTCGAACTCCCCGCCAGACCGCCGGACAGTGGCGGGCCTCGGGGGGCGCTGTGGCGGCCCCCCCCTGGCAGGCTGTCGGCCTCGACAATCAACTGGGTCCGGAGAGCCTGCTTTGCACTCACCTGAGCCAGGGAGACGCGGGAGGGTGTATGGATGTTGGGGATGGCGCACATGTCAGCACACTGGCACGGAGAAAGGCACCCCAACTAGCAGGGAGGCCCCCCGGGCGGGGGAGGGAGGGAGGGGGTGGGCCAGGGCGCCCTGACGCACCGCAAGGGACAGCTCGTCGGCAAACTCCCCCAGTAGACCGAGAACGCTTTCGACTTCTTGACTGCGCTCGGCCGGGGTCAGATTGAGAGCCAAGTCCGCGCCGGGCGCCCGGCCGTCGGCCAAGCCGAGTTCGCTCTCAATTTGGGCAAGATCCCCATCGGAGAGATCGCCCGCCGGGTCGTCCTCCTGGGCTGCCAACTCGGCGATGCGTTGCTCCATGGCCGCACTGCTGGCCCGGATGCCGTCCAGACAAACGGCAATCAGCTCGGCCAGCGAGGTGGCCTCCAGGCTGGGGCTGGCTGGCGAGTCCTGGCCAAGGGGCTCGGAGACCAGGGCCGGAGACTCTGCCAGCCGAGCCGCCGGGGCGGCCTGGTGGGCCTCCAGCTGCTCGACAGGAACCGGGCGCGGCCGTTCCAAGCCAGCCGACAAGGGGGCCGCCTTCGGGGGCCCGGCGACCGCGGCCGACACGGTGCCCGTGTCGGCGGCTGCACCATTCGCAAGGGAAGCGGCGGCTCCGGAGGCGGCCATGTCCGGACTGCTCTTGGCGCCGGCGGGCAGCAAGGCCGAGATGAGCTGCCCGCGAGCTGACACATACCACGCGTGTGACCAAACGGCCTGGGACTCGACCTCCGAGGAGGCGGTCAAATCGGCCGAGGCCGAGGGGGGCCGGGGTCCCGAGCCCGACGAGCTCAGGCCCTCCTGTTGCCGAGCGAAGGCCCAACGCGAGGCGATGTCCAGGCGATTGAGGGCGGCTCGAACATTGAGGCGCTCATCGAGGGCCTCCAGATCGGCCAGGGCCGCCTCACGCAGGACCTCCGTGAAGGCCCCCTGCGCGGCGGCGATCAGATCCTCGCCCGCGGGTGGCCCGGCCGCCCCCGGGCCGGGAGACGCATCGGCATCCGACTTGCCAGGCCAGGCATCTGCCGACAGGTGCTGGGCCAGCAGCTGCGAGCAGGAGGCCACCAGCGAGTCCAGGGTCCGATGGTGAGCCGATGTTAGCTTCGAGTGCCGTAGGTACCGGTGCTGTGCGTTGGGAATGTCAATTGGCCGGGGCTGCCGGTGCCGCATGGACGCATCCAGCGCGATGTCATCGTGCATTTTTGGCGGCAGCGGGGGCGAGGTGGGCCAGGCGAGGGGAAGCACGGGGCGGGGCAGAGGGCAAGGAGCGGCGGCCGAGTGCAAGAGGTGAGGGATGGGGGGAGGGAGGGAGACAGGGATTGAGCTGGAGAGATTCTCGGATGGCGGCCCGATCGAGGAAAAATGTCCGGGCCCTTCCTTGTGCGCGCGGGCCCCCCGCTGGTCCCGCCCCGCCCTTCCCCCCCCCCCGCGCCGCTCGCGGCCGCGGAGACAATTTGAAAGAAAAAACGGCAACACATGCGTTGGCAGTTGGCTCTATTGGAACAGCATGCAGCCTGCCCAGGCCTTTCTCCGGCTCCTTGTGTGGGGGAGAGTGACGCAGCAGAGTGCGAGGGCGGGGGGGACACAACACACACACACACACACACGCAGCGATCCGAGGGGGAGCACAGTGGGTGGTGCCGCACACGGGGGGCAAGGACTCGTGAACAGAAGTGCATGGTGGGAAACGGGCACGGCACCACGGCTCCGGGCGCGCCGGCACCCCCTCTGGCCAGTGGTGCCAGGCTACGCCGCACGGGACAGGAGAGGCGGGGGAGGGGAGATCTAGTTGGAGGGGTAGCGCTCGACGATCATGGCGGTGGCCTGACCACCGGCAGCGCAGGCGGCCAGCAGGCCTAGCCGGCCGTTCTCGGCGTGCAGACGGTTGGCCGAGGTGGCCAGCAGGCGAATGCCGGTGGCCTGGGGATTTGGGTGTTATTGTGTTTTCCGCCGTGTGTGTGCGTGTGTGCGTGTGTGCGTGTGTGCGTGTGGGAGGGGGGACGGGGGATGACATTCGAATGAGAAGGAGGCGACAGAGGGCAAAAGGAGCGCAAGCCACGGGTCAGACCAGTGCATGCGCGGCGGATACATGTAGAGCCAAGACCAAAGGCAGGCACGCACGCCGAAGGGGTGACCGATGGACAGGGACCCGCCCCAGTTGTTCAGGCGATCCATCGGGATCTGGCCGACGGCGCCGCCGAACTGGGTGTTCTCCTTGCACCACTCCTCGGACTTGAGGGCGTTCAGGTTGGCCAGCACCTGGCCGGCGAAGGCCTCGTGCAGCTCGAACACATCGATGTCCTGCAGGGTAAGGCCGGCCTTGGGGAGGAGCTTGGCAATGGCATAGGCCGGGCCGAGGAGGAGCTCCTCCTTCGGGTCGCACGACGCAAACAGGTGGTCACGAATGTAGGCCTTGGGCGTGAGGCCGAGCTCGAGGGCTGGGGGATGGCGGGACGGCAGGTCAGGGGAGGGCGAGGGGCGAAAGGGGGAGAGGGTGCGCATGGTGGCAGGCCAGGAGCAGGCACAAGGGCAAGGTTCGTTCGGGTGGCGGCACGTACCACGAGCCTCGGACATGATGAGGGCCGAGCTGGCGCCGTCAGTCAGGAAGGAGGCATTGCCGGCGGTGACAGTGCCGTGGGGCTTGACGAAGGCCGGGCGCACGCGCGACAGGCGCTGCATGCTGGTGTCCGGGCGGATGCCATTGTCCTTCTCCACCAGGGTGGGAGTCATGACCGGGGCGATGTCGGTCAGGTAGCCAGCCTCCTGGGCCTTGGCGGCACTCAGGTGCGAGCGCATGCTGTACTCGTCCTGCTCATGGCGCGACACGCCAAACCGGCTGGCCAGCCGATCGGCCGAGTGGCCCATCACCTCGCCGGTGGAGAACTCCGCGATGGCCGGCGCCTCGGGGGCCAGATCGCTCAGCTTCAGGCCCTTCAGCAGCTTGGCCGCCATCTCCAGCTTGCCGGACAGGGTCTTCGGGGTGCGGAAGGTGAAGGCCAGCATGCGCGAGCGCAGGGGCTTGGAGAAGCGGATCGGCACATCGGACATGGTCTCCACACCGCCGCAGAGGACCGCCTGGGCCTGGCCGGCGCGGATCTGATCCGCGGCCTGCGAGAGGGCCTGTTTTTTTTTCCCTCCACATGTCAGATGACTGCCCTGCTGGACGGGTGAAAGCGGGTTGCGAGAGGCGGCACCAGCATGGCCGCCGGGCTGGATGTCCCCCCCCCCCCCCCCCCCCCCCTCGCCCCAGGGCGTGTAGCATGGGCACCCACGCACCACGTTGGAAGAGATGCAAGCCAGGGACACGGTGTGGGCCGGGATGTTCTTGGGGATGCCAGCACCGAGGGCCGCCTCACGGGCGATGTTCGACGTGCGGACCTCCTGGATGACGGTGCCGGCGATGACGGCATCGAGGATGTGCGGGCTGAGGTTGCATGTGTGGGGACGGACAGGGCGGTCAGAGCGGGGCCCTTTGCCGGGAGGAGGCACAGGCAGCCGGCGAAGGCAACTCGGGCACGCACTCGATCTCGGTGCGCTGGATCAGCGAGTGGAAAGCCGAGCGCAGAAGGTCGTAGGACATGAGATCGCGGTAGCCAGAGCCCGAGGTCTGGGGAAGGGGAAGTCCCAGGCGCGGAGGGTAGAGGGAGATGTCGGGATGTCAGGAGGAGGGGGGCGGGGGAAGAGGAGGGAGCACCGAGCAAGGTCGTACCTGGAAGGGGGTGCGAACGGCGTCGACAAGGACCACATTCGGCCGGCCATGACTGCCGGGAGGTGTGCCGGGGGAGGGGCATGGGAGAGGGGCGATGGTCAGCGAGGCATATTTCGGCATGGGGGGGGGGGGGGGGGGGCGACACGAGAGGGAGCATGGTCGATGCATCAGCAAGAGGGCGCACCGGTCCATGCCGGGCAGCGGCTTGATGTCGATGGCCGGGGCCTTGCCAGACTTGATGCTATCCTTGGTGGTAGTGGTGGTGGTGGTGGTGGTGGCGGCGGTGGACATGGCACGCGAGATCAGCATGGCCTGCTGGCCGCTGCGGACGCTGGCAATCGAGATCCGGAGCATGTTGGAAGGATTGGCGGGGGGAGGGGGAGGGCGAAAAGGGCAAGCGGCGAGGCGAGCACAGAGGGGGGGGGGGGGGGAGGAGGGGGCGAGGGGCGAAAGTGCGGCTGCTCGGCGGCCTGGCGGCCCGGGGCCCGGCACGCGCGGGCTGATAAAAGCCCCGACCATCAGGGAGGCCCAGTGCCCATGCAAACACCCGCCGGCCCGGGAGTGCATCGTCCCGCCTTCGTGTGGGAGAAGAGGTCACACAAAGGGTGGCGGTCACTTGTCGGGGTTTCCCTTCCGCTCATCCCTCCGCCGGCCCCCCCTCCCCCGCTAGTCAGCTCCCCTCCGCTTCCCACCCTCCTGCCACTCTGGCAGAGTGCGAGGCGAAGAAGCCCAGACCGGGGACAGGAGCCGGAGTCGGGGACTTTCACGTGCACGCGTGTGCGCGGTTCGAGCCGCGGACCGCGGGGCGGGGGCGAGGCGGCGCACGAGCCGTTTTCTGCTTGCTCCCCCCCCTTCTCGTAGGCTTCCCACTGGCGAGCGATGGGCAGGCCCGCTGACGCGGGGGGGGGGGGGGGAGAGGGGAGTGTTATTATTTGGTCTGCGCACATTCACCCGGCCGAGGCGCGGTAATTCGCCGGGTCACCCGCTGGTGCGGCTTCTCGCTTGTGCCGCATCGGCTGAGAGCCGGCTCATGGGAGGGAGCGGCATCCTTGCATGGGTGCATGTGCGGGAGCGGGTGCAGGCCTGCGTGGTACATATGCTTACACATGTGTGTGTGTGTGTGTGTGCGTACACTCTCTCCTCCCCCCCCCCCCTCTCTCTCTCTCTCTCTCTCTCTCTCTCTAGCATGAGCGGCAGACTGTTTGTCATGACAGCTGCGGTGTGAAAGGCGGGGTAGGGGGAGGGGGGGGGCGGGCGTAAGAACCCTCAAGTCACCTGGAATCACGCCCCCTTCAGCCTCCTGCCGTAGCAGTCCCGTGCCCAAGTGTGTGATTTCAGCAGGAATGCTCACGCCCTCGCCGGATGGTAGCAGGCATTCTTGACTACGTGGGTGCGCGGCTTTGAGGGGGGTGGCGGGGGGGGCGTATGTCCGCGCCGAATGCAGTAGCACCAGGCGGGCTATTGCTCTAGGTGGCCCGGCAACAACAATAAAGAAAACAACACACCTTCTGTTGGCATAGTGCCCATACGCTGGAACTCCGGGAGCGTTGCTACGCGTGGTGGCCCGCCGCCGCGGCCGCTGCCGCTGTGGAAGGCCGCTCGCGCGCCCACCGGACCAGGGCATCCGGCTACCCGTGTCCTGGCTCCCCTGAGTATGTGTGTGTGTGTGTGTGTGTGTGCGCCCGGGGGCGGGGGGCGACGGGAGCATATGGCGGCTCGGGAGGGGCCCCGAAAAGTGTCCCAGGAGAATAAATATCTGCCCTGGCCCGCGCGGATTGCCAGACGGGTGCCGGGCGGAGAAATAAACTTGGCAGACTACTGGCACGTCCCCCTGCCCCTGGCCCCCCTTCCCCCGCGGCGGTGCCCGCGCCTGGGGGCGCACCAGGTCGCCGGGGTCTTGTCCGGAGCGCGGAGGCACCGAAAGAGTGACTCAGCAGGAATTCGGAATGATGATCAGAGAGCGAGAGAGAGAGAGAGAGAGAGCGAGAGCGAGCAAGCGAGGGCGGCCCGGCGCGGCCGCCGAGTTCACGGCCGGCGCCGCGCACCAGAACAAGGAGGCCACAGTGGCATCGGCTGCGGGCGCGCTACCACCACGGCCACCGCGTCCCAGCCGGGGGACCCCGGGGGGGGTGGGCGAGACCACGGCGGGGGGAACGAACGGATGAGGGCGACCGCGGGGGCGGCGGTGGGGGGGGGGGGGGGGGGGGAGCGCCCGCGCGGACGAAACGCCCCTAGCTGTGGCGAGGTCACTTTGTCTTGCGGGGCATTCGACCGGAGGGTTGCTGGTGATGGCCATCCGCATGTGCGAAGGGGGACGGGACACGGGCGGAAGGCAGGGCAATGGCCGTTCCACTCCCCCAGGGAGGGGGACGACCATGGGCGGCGATCGGGGGGGGGGGGGCGAGTGGCTTGGGCGCTCTTCGTGGGATCCTCCAGCCCGGCCCCGCGTCCTCGGCTGCTACCGGCCTCGCTCTCTGCCCCCTTCGCTCTCCCTCTCTGACGCCAGCCCTCCTTGGCGGCGAAAGCGCAGCCGCGCCCGGGCCCGGCCCCCGGCGGCGCATGTTTTATTTTACCCGGGCCTCGCCCGGGCGGGTGGGGGTGCGGTGCAGCAACGCCAGCGGCAGCAGCGCCGGCCGGTCCTCGCCCCCCGGTCCTCCTGGCGCTTGGCCCCCAGGGGGGCGAGGGGGGGCGCGCTGCGCTCACGCTCTACCCCTTGAAAAAAGGGTCGCCTCGCCCGCCCCACGACGGCCGCCTGCCAGGGGGGGGGGGCGGACTGGTCAGAGGCCTGGTTTCCGCGGCCGGTCAAATCGCCCCTTTGACGCGCAAGGG